GCCTTCGTTCATTAGTGTTCAAAGCCTCAAATCTGTTCCTGAGATGGTTCTGAAATTCAGGTGGGATAGACTCAAGGTCATATTTTGGTTACCTCGGCAGCAGATATGAAAATAGTCTTTATCAAAGAGCATATTCAAGTGGCCAACAAACACATGAAGAAAAACTCACGATCACACTGAGCTATCATCTCACCTCAGCAACAGTATCATAGTGTAACGGGACAGCAGACAACAAATGCTGGTGAGGATGCAGAGAGATTCACACTTTCATGTACTGCTGGTGGGAAAGCAAGATGGTACAACCAAAATGGAAGGCAGGCTGGTGTTTCCTCAAAAAGTTGAAAATAGAAATCTCATTTGATTCAGCTATTCCACTACTGAGAATACACCCTAAAGAAATCAGAGCAGCAACACAAACAGATGTATGTCTACCTATGTTTATTGCAGCATTATTCACAATAACAAGCAGAGGAAACAGCCCAAGTACTCATCAACAAACAAATGGAAAGAGAAACTGTGGTATATTCACACAATGGAATACTACAGCATTGCATTGAAAAACAATGAAGAATACTTTAAACATTACACAACAAGTGAATCTAGAGGACATTATACTGAGTACAAGAACTCATTACAAAATTACAAATATTGTTAAAAGAACAGAAATATTTTTATATACTATATATAATAGTTATATACATTGGTTATGGGTGTGGGAGGGAGAGCAGAGAGAGATAGATAGGTGATGAGCACTATGATTGATCAATTAAGGGGAAGATTAACCTGAAATGAACGGACAATTAGACAATATGTGTACTGCATTGCATTTAACAGTCTGGAAGAGGCCATGCCATTAGTGATCAAAGAAAGGATGGGGGGGGGCAAAGAAGGAAAAGAGGGCTGGAGAAAGAGAAGGTTTAGTCACAGAAACAACTTCAGAGGGTTGGCAGGCAGGCCTGAGGGGAGTGAGAGAGGGAGCAAAGATCACCAAATGACTAGGTAAAGGGAAACACATTGAGATTTCCGAGAAGACACTAAAAAATAATGACATTATAGTGTAATTATTGTTATATAACAAACATGATGAGTGACTGAACAAAAAACATTTTTAAAAAAAGTTTTATACTGATGTATTTACAAAGTTTCAATACATTGTTTTTCACAAAAGTTGGTTCCCATTTCCTTCACTCCACCCATCCATTGAATAGTGCAGTGCAATCCTATGTTTAACACCCCAGCCCCCTTCCCAAACCAATTTTTTTAAACCTTAAAATTAAACTCTCTTCAAAGACTCAAAAGTTGTCACTGTTGAGGTTGCACCTTGGACTGGGGTGGCTCTGAGCAATAATGGAGTGTGTGTTCCAGGATGACATTTTTAGAACGATCATAATTCACTGTATTTCCCAGCAGACAGTTGAAAGCTTTCCTTTCTGATGTCACCACAGTCCTTTCCTGTAAAAAGAAAGGAGACCCCCCAGTGTGGAAAAGAGAATGCTTTCTCATGGTACTGTCTAGGCTGTCATGAACAAATATTCTATCAAGAAAAAGTTCCAGGAGGGCAATCAGAGAAGCATAGATTAAAATAGGAGTTAAAATTGAGAACTTGCTAGCATGTTGCTCTATTTGAACCATAACAACCAGCAACATCCTGTCTTGAACGTGGATAAATAAACGCCTGGTAACTCTAAAGAACTAGTTGTTGGCAAGTTGATCCCAACCGTAGGCAACTCCTATTTGTAGAAAGTAATTCTTCATGATTATTTCCAACATTGTGGCCTTTCAGACCCAAATGGACAGGTTTTTCTTCTGAGGCACCTCAGAGTATGTTTGAACCGCCACCTGGTTAATAACCACGCACTTAGATGATTACACCATCCGGAAACTGCATCTCTCTGGTGATGTCATGTGCTATCTACTCTCCACCTCAACCTTCTACTAGGTTTTCAGAGACAGTAAATTGCACGGGAGTTGATTATCTTTCTTCCTCAGAGGAGCTGGTGGATGCAAACCATGTGCCTTTGGGTTGGAAGCATAACTCCTTTGCCACTAGGCTAGCAGAGCTTCCTCCAGCTCTATGGTAACCTCTCCGTATAGCCACTCTCATGGCAGGCATGCTAATCAGTCATGATACACTTGAACAATCACATTTTCTCAGTACAGGTGGTGGCTGTTGTTAAGTGCTGTCGAGTCGAGCACAACTCCTAGCAACCCTATAACCAACAGCCCTGAAACCTGTACTATCCTGTTTCATCCTCATCATCTCTAAGTACTGATAAAAGATATCTGAAAGATAAAGCTTGCTTATAATCCTGGGTTCTGGGTCTTCCCCAAAATATATCAGTATATATCAGTACACATGTTCACATGGCCCAGACAGGGGAGCTGGAATACCACACAGCATTGCGTTGTCCCAGGAAAGCCTATCTAACTTGCAACAGCAGCTTCTCTGAGACATGCTGATTCACTGGGGCAGACATAGGCAATCCCTTGGGCCTGAGAGTCCCAGAGGCCAGTGAGGCGTTGGCAAGCTGGACTGTCTCATGACTAGGGTGAGCCTTTCCACAGCCCAGCCACAGACCAGCACGGACAAGGGGCTCGGGACTGTGGTTGGAGTTGGGTGGTTGATGACCTCAGTGGCCAGTCACTGTGATGACTCTGCGACCACCACCCCTTCTGCATCTCTTGGAGTCCCCCTGGCCCCTCCTCTTCGTGTTTTCAGCATTCTAGCTGCTGGTTTCACACGTGTTCTCTCTCCTCCTTTCTCTCCTCTTGCACGCTGCCTCACATCCCTGTGCTGCTGTGCAGTTTCCCAAGGTGAGTGTGCTGAGCAGATGCAGACCTCATTTCTGGTTGTTCTTGTGTACCACTGAGCAAGAACCCACTCCTAACTTTCCTCCAGGGGGGTGACGCAGGCAGGAAATCACGTGGAGGGAGATTTCTCATTCTTCTCCTGTGTTGCAGCTGGAGCATTCAAACCATGGCCAGTGGGTCACTGGCCATTTGGTTAGCAGCCAAATATGCCAAATATTTAACCACAACAGCACCAGGGCTCCTCCCAGCAGATCTCAGGCTCATATAATTGCATCCACAAATATTTACATTCTTTTAAAAACATAACCACAATATTTTCCACAGCTAAATAAATAAGGAGCAATACCTTGTTAACAACGGTATTCCAATTGTCTCAGTGATCTCATAATTAACAGTTATGTTCATTATTAGAGTCAGACACTCTCACCTGGATGAACAGTTGTTGTTATTGCTGTTATGTACTGTCTGGCCAGAACTGATTCACCGCTGACCCTCTAAGTGCGTTTTCAGAGCCAGTTAATTACACAGGAGGAAAGTGGCCACCATTCCCCCTCTCAGAGCAGCTGGTAGATTAGAACAATGTGCCTGGGGTTCTTCTTACTACTAAGGCCTCAGAGGTCCTCTGAATATTGTTGTTGTTGTTAGGTGCTGTCAAGTGGAGTACTATTCATAGCAACCTTAAGAACAACTGCTCTGAACCCCATCCTATCCTGTGCCAAGATCACAATCTCTCCCATGCCAGAGCCCATTGCTACAGTCACTGTGTCAAGGCATCTGGTTGAGAGTTTTCCTCTCCTCCACTTGGGTATCTGTTTCCTTGCTTGTCTATCATTATTCTAATTATACAGCACTTGTCTTTCAGTTTGCTGTACTGAGGTAACTTATGGGTACTGCAATGCTGAAGGCTGTGCCACCAGTGTGTCAAATGCTAGAGGGGTCATCCATGGTGGACAGGTTTTAGTAGAGCTCCTAGATCAAGACAGACTAGGAAAAAGGACTGGCCACCCACTTCAGATATAACAGGTCTCTGAAAACCCTATGAACAATATCCCTCTGAGCAGAAGAAGAAACCCAGCCTGTTGCATTGGGTGAACTGACTCCTATTAATGGCAATGACACACACTCAGCTTAGAGCTGTGCTTCCCAGGGTTTTCAGTGGCCAGTTTCCTGGGATTGGATTGCCATGTCTTTCTTCTGATGCACGTCTGGGTGGATTCAAACCCCTAACAGCTGAGGGTTAGCAGCTGAGCAAATTAATTGTTTGCACCACTCCAGGTTGAACATGTGCTCGGTCACACCCCTTTGGGTGCCAGCACCTTCCTCCAAGGCTGTGCACGAAAAGTCACTCTTATCCTGGGGAGGAGTCCCTGAGCTGCTAACCTCTACCCCAAAGAGCGTCCTTCCTTCTATCTCCATGAAGCCCTATATTTCATAATTCTTCTGCATATGTGTGTGTGGTTTGAATGAATGTTTACAAGGAATATGGGTTTTCCCGATCAATCATTCATTCACATCTTGCTCCAAAGCATCAGAAATAATATCCATGATTCTTACCTCATTCATTCCATATTGCCTCTCTCATCACCTGTACCAGTTAAGTGTTTACTAACTGTTAAGGTTATACTCCCCCGTTTCCCCTCTCTGGTAACCACAGTAGAAAGACTCTGTATGTGAAATTTTAGTTTTTATAACAGTGACCTTGATAGCACGAGTCCTTCTGTGACTGGCTTATTTCACACAATGTAATGTCCTCTAGACGCATTCATATTGTTCAGCATTTCACAAAATCTTCATCATTCTTCAGTGTTGCTTACTACTCCATTGTGAGAATCTACCATGGTTTCTCTAACTGGTCATGATTTGTTCCTTTGTTTCTCATTAAAAACTCGATGTCCTTGGGGTAAGTGCACAGACTATAATGCTCACACCTCAGTGAGTATTGTGATCTGACGGCATCTCCTGGAGAAAACTCGAAGGGATGCGTGTCTAACTGTCTCTCCTTTGCTTTCTCCTCACAGGCTACAAGGAGCAGGGCATCCCACAGCAGCTGTGAGCCCCACTGGAGCTGCGGGGGACAGGCCAGGGTGGCCCTGGGGAGCTGCCCCAAGCAGCCATGGGCACAAGGACATTTTCTCTTCTGCTATTTCCCGGGTGGTGGGGAAAGGGATATTTTAAAAATATTTATTTTGAAAACACATCTGCTCTTCTCAGCAGGCACTAAGGGCTGCAGACCCCTCCCCAGCTCCAGAAAACATTCTGGTGCCAGAACAGTTCGAGGTGGGCACAGGTCAAGTAAGTTGACAGAGAGGTGCGCATCTTGGCAGTGTCCAGGCTGCTGAAGGGCCCGTCACACCTTGCATGGGACACTGTCACTGCAAAGTCCCTGCAAGGCTTCCAGGCCAGGCCAGGGGACCTCGGGTCAGTGTGAGCAGGCTCCCCGAGGGGACAGGACTCAGTGGGCATTTTCTCTGAGCCCTTAGCTCTGCCTGTCCCATCTGGTGCCCTGTGTTTGTGGTACCCTAAGGGCAGCACTGGCAGGGGTGGGGGATGGACAGAATCTAGCCTGGCATGAAAAGGGCCTCCCCCCGAGAGGCAGGAGAGGTCTACAGCTTCCCTGCCCCTCTTGTCAGACGCCCAGCCTCCACGCTCCTGAAACCCACGTGGCTTGCTGCCTTCTGAGAGCAATGGCTCCATCCCTGGAGCAAAATTGCTAGAATGGTGAGTGGTTTCAATACAAAATGACCAGACAGTGTCTGAGCAGGGAGATTGGGCACCCTCCACATGCTGCTGGACACCTGTCCACATCACAGTCCCACTTCCAAAATTGCTGGGGCCACCTGGGGTTCTGAACCCAGAAAGTCTAGATTTGAGAAAAATTATAGGATCCTTTTACCACGCGTCTCTTCACACTGCAGTGGAGTCTGACATGCCCCAATCCCCTGACAGTGTCAGAACCCTCTGACACTATGACTGAGAAACAAATGAATGGTCACGCTCATAGGGACCGACACCAACTGTCAGGATCTCCATGAAGCGCAGATGTTGCCACTAAAAGGGCTGTGGGGGAAAAACAGGGTGTATGAGAGCTCTTTGGATTTCAGGGAGAACTCTATAGGATTGTGGCCCTTGAGCTAGAAATCCTTGCAAACAGATCCCATCCCCAAGAGGGAGCAGTTATTCATGCTTCCCTGGCCCCTCTGTGGGATTGTCAGAGGATCCCTCATGGAGTGAGACCTCCTTGGGGTTGTCCTGGCCAGTGCCATTCTAACTTCAGAAATGTATGAGAAAGGGAAATCTCGTGAAAAAGTGGAGGAGAATGAGGGATTTGCCATTTTCTCTGTGGCTGCTGGAGAAAGCTTTGTGGCTAGCCAGCAGTCCTCAGCTCAGTTACCCCGGGTCTAGGCTGAACGCTGCCCAACCCTCACCTGACAGGCAGACCCCTTGCTGCCTCCAAGCGGCTCTGCTCACACTCTTGCAGCCTCTGTCGGAGGCAAGGCCCCACCACCCTGGGGAGGCCTAGTCCACATATCCTGTCCACCATCCAGTTGCCACCAAGTTAAGAAGGACTCACGGTGACTTCGTGTGTGCCATGTAGAATTATGCTCCATGAAGTCATCAATGGATGAGTCCTCACATCAGTGGACCGGTCCTCAGGTCGCCAGGCCTTGCTTCTGCAGCATCTTTGGGGAGTGTTGAACTGCCCACCTCTGTGTTAGCATTTACACATGTCAAACTCACCAAGCTTTGTAATTAAAGTCCTGCAGAGAACAGGGCTCAAACTCCTTGTGGACATCTCCTGAGGAATGAAGCTCATCCAGCTCTGGGAGCCAATGAAAAGGGATGTTTCTCTGCTCCTGGACTGTCCACCCTCCTGCCCCACTGGTCTTGGATAAGTGTCAGGTCCCTCTCCACAACTTCCTGGTCGTGCCTCCTGGTCCTCTGGGCCCACCCTGGGCCTTTGCTTCTCTTCTGGTACCTTCTTACTGGATGGACTCCTATGTGGTGAGACAGATTTTATTTTATCCAGAAAGGCAGAGTCGTCAGATGCACAAACAGGTGGGCTGCTTTCTAGGAGGCTGTCTCCCCTGTGACCGATCAGATCCAACAGCTCAGGCTGAGGATGGGGAAGCCCCACCCCTACCCCGTGGTGGGTGGACTATTCCTGCCTTTTCCCCAGAATCACCTCCCACTCCCATCCCACACGCAGGGTGCCTGACGCATCTGGAGAGCAAGGGGAGGGTCCTAGCCCCTGCTTTGGGCTGGAGTGGGCACTGTGGGGGCGAGACAGCAATCTGCATCTTGTTTAGTGATACACTCCAGACTTAGGTGGGGTTTCCTTGCGTGGCAACCATGGTGTAGGATGCGTGGACTTGGGCTTGTGTGCTTACACAGTAGGTGGCCCCAGTCCGGGCTGGCCTGGCCTCACCTGAGGACTACTGCTGGCCATCCCTTGGGAGGGGACAGGTGTACGTGTACAGGAGGGAATGAGAGGGCGCCTACCTGTCTGTATCTGTTCTACTTGAAGGTGTATCTTTCTGAGTTAGGCCACGTCTCCAACGTATGGTCTCCATTTCATAAGGGACTGTGGCTCGTTTACCCCGGGAATGTCTCTGATGGCACTCAGATCTCTAGAGAGCTGAGTTCTTCGCCTAGGCCTGCCTGCATACAGCTGGGCCCTCCTGCGAGGCAGCACTGGGCAGATGGCGGCCCTTCCCTCACAGTCTGACCCTTGCTTTGGTGGTTGCTCCAGGAGTGACTGGGCTTTCACCAGTCAGAAGTCCACAGGGCCATCACTTTGATGGGTGTTTGTGCCAGAATGGAGCCTTCAGAGACGTTCACAGGAGGCACTCCTCATGCCTGGCTGTGCCCAGCAATAAAATCCAGTTTCTCATGGTTCTGCTTTTATCCCTCCCAAATGTGTGTCAGAACAAAGCTGTGCTCCCTAGTGTTTTCAACAGCTGTTTTTTTTGGAATTGGATTGCCAGCTCTTTCTTCCGCAAGGTCTCTGGGTGAACATTAAACGTTAACCTTTCAATTAATAACTAAGCATGTGTGCTAGGCGAAGCTGTTCCTTGGAGAGAGCCATCATGCTTGGAAAGGTGGAGGAACAGGGAGGGAGAGAGGAAGACTCTCACCCAGACAGATTGACACAGTGACTGCATCAGTGGACTCAAGTGTATCAGAGATTGTGAGGATGGCACCGGAGAGGACAGGGTTCAGATCTGCTGTTCACAGGGTCGCTATGGGTTATACTCGATGGCACCTAAAAACAGCATTAACTCCACCATGAAGGAATGCCAGCCCAGCTCTGCAAAAAGCCATCGTCATTGACTCTGATTCACAGTGACTCTTTATCACATTTCCAGTGTTGTAAATCCTTTTGGGAGGAGCACCTGGTGGGTTCGAACTGCTGACCTTTGAGTTAGTAACTCAGCATTCACTCCACCAAGGCTCCTCAGCGGGGGATTACTGTGGGAAGTGCACAGGCCAGATGAGATCTGAGAGCCTGAGGGAGCCACCTAGTGGCCGAGGAGTGCGCTGTGGGCAGTGGAGACAGCCCAGCGCTCCAAGCTGAAGTCTCCAGCCCAGTGGTTGCAGGGTGGAGTGGTTTTAAGTAATCAGGGCCAACCGAGTGCCCAGCCACAATCCCAGCTCCAGCCCCGCAGCGTGTCTACAGCTTCACATGAGGGAGGTGAGAAGGAACGTGCAAGCAAGTTCCCTCCTGCTGCCCCAGCCCCAGTGGCAAGGAGCACCCCCACAAGCTGGCACTTAGGAGCAGTGGGAGCTTTACCTCTTACAGTCCTTACCGTCAGCCTGGGCAGTGTTCAAACGTCAAACTGAGACTCCAGAAGAGGAAGTCACGGGCCCAGACACAGCTCATGGGTGGGCAGCCACGCTGGGGCCTAACAGCTCTGGCGGGCACCGCCACATGGGCCCCAAGAGTTCACTGGGCCTGAGCTGAAGGGGGCAGCAGAGACACTGGGGCCAGAGAGAAGGCAGGGAGAGAGGGGTCTAAGGAGCCCTGGTCCCCTGAGAAGTGAGGAGATGAAGTGGGCAACCTCAGAAAGAACAGGGCAGCATTTGTTCCTCTCCACTCCTCCACTACCTCCCCTTATCCACCCCCATCACCCCAACCCCCACCCCTGCCCTATGACATCCTCCTGATGAGGCAGGCCCTGAGGGCACCCTTTGTTGAGGGTGGAGAAGAAAGGTGGCTAAGAGCTTCCAGTCTTAGTATGCAAGGTCAAGTCAGTGGCCAACCCCCTTCCAGCCCAGGCCCCCAAACCTCTATCCCCTCAGACTTAGAGATGTGGTGGTGAGCTCACCTCCCCTGGTATAGGGAAGACCAAGAGCAGGCCCACCTTGGGTTTCAATATCTTCATTTGTTTCTACTGAGCTGACCCTGGTGGCAAAGACTCATGCACTGGGTAAAGTGCTCGGGGTTGTGAGTCTGTGAGCTCCAGTTGGTGGTTGCAGGCACTGCCTACTGTTTTCATCACCCCCTCTCTTTCTGGCTTGCTTGGGACCATTGCTGACCAGAGGGGTTCCTTCCTCTCAGAAGGGCCGAGTGAGGCACCACCTTCGAGCCCCAGGAGTGTGCCCTCACACAGATGGGGTCCCTGTTGCATGGCTCACTTCACAGACACTGAGTGAGTGTACTGAGGGGCAGCGGGTCCATGCTAGGCTTCAGTGAAAGGGAGACAGTTTGTAAACCGCAACATGACAGAGCCCAGGTGAGCTGCCATCAGAGTGAGGGGCTGTGTTCCCCAAGGACTGGGGCCGTCCCTTTTCCCTCCAGAGAACTCTGTGCATCTTGTAGGAAAAGAGGAGGCCAGGAGGATCCAGGGGAGAAAGACTGCGCTGAGTTTGAGCAGGTGCCTGACAGGTGCGATTTTGATTTCTTAAACCCAAACACTATTAGTCCTCGGAATGCCTCTGACTTGGCGCACTCAGAGTGGAGCAATCCTTGGAAGGGCTGCCTTTTCTCATTGTTTTGAGGGATAAGTCACCAGGCCTTTATTCTGAGGCACCATCAGTAGATTTGACTCACCA